AGAAGGAGTGAACTTGTACAGCAGCAAGGGAAAACTTTGGATCTGGAAAACCACATGGAAGCAGAAAAGCCCTTCAAGGTGGAAGGACGCATCAGTGGCCCGCTCTCTCTCTTTCTGGAAGGCAGGTAGAATTCACAGGACTTGCTCGGAAAATGAGATAGGTGCAAACTAAGCAGGTGGGCCCAGCCCTGGTCTTCCCCAGTTCCCATGAGGCAGATCCACTGTTAACGCCAGGTTTCAAGCACAGGTGGGGGGCTCGAATTTGCCTGGGATGCGCATTAACCTTGCTCTGGGATTTTCAATCTCTTGCATGTATTTAGATCAAGGTGCTGCTACGTCTTCATGGGGCAAAACAATTAGGAGAGAGGGGCATAAGGATGCAGGAAGAATGACTGATGAGACCAGCCCTGGTCCTGACATTGGAGATCAGCCTAAGATCATCCCAACAGCCAGGCAACTAGGGGTCACTCTTCTCCTTCCCTGTCTCATGATGACCAGTGACCAGATTCTGCCCCCTCGCACAACGAACCAGAAACAAACCAGATGCAAAGCTATTAGCAGCAGATGTGACCAAGGAGAGATGGGTTCACAGCCAGGTCAGCCAGGGAAACATCTCCCAGAATTTAACCTGGTCCCAGAGCCACATCTCCTTGGCTCTTTTTAGAGAGCAAACGTGGCACCAGAGGGGTACCCCGATGTCACGGAACCAGAGCTGACCCCGTTCGAGGTTTTCAAACTCCATGGGGAAATGAACTAACGAGCAAGCTGGTTAGCGAACCTTTCCCTTACCTCGGGCATCATCTCTTCAATGAAATGAATCGTGTAGTCTATGTTGAATCGAATCACTTTACACAGTGGGATCTGCAAATAGAAGAGAGGGTCAGGGCTGCAGAGAGAGAGGCACACCTTCATCTCGGCCGCGACCAGCACTGAACTTGGGGCTTCAGGACGGCGGCTGGATTTTCGTGGTGAGAACCCCGCCAGCCCAGCCTCGGCAAGGAACCTGAAGGAGGCTGGTGCTGAATTCTGGGTATGAACAGCAGCCACACAACCATGGCACAAACCCCTCCACACCAAGGACGCCACACGCTTCTTTGCCCTCAGGCTTTCCGAAATCGTCGGCTCTTCTGGCAGGCTCAGGCATGGCAGGTACAGTCGCTGAGCTCTGCTGCTGCCTACCTGGTCCTGGGCAAGAAGCAATCACAGCAATACTAGCCACAACGAAGACAGGGACGGCGTAACCTTCATGGAGCCAAGGAAGAGAGGGAGCAGGTGCACTCCCCCAGGTAACTGATGAGTTAGCAAGTCCTACTCCAGACACCTGTACTTTGTCACCAGGGTCAACGCCACTTCCGACTCCAGTACCCGGGACATGGCTGTGTGCTGACGTGAGACTTTTTGCATGGTTCTTCTATCCACGTCTCTGCACCTCCCCCACCAAATGACTGGGGGCGACTCCGCAGAGGGCACGTGTAACACTAATGGAAGGGATGGATCGGCTTTAGTTACCACTCCCCTGGCTGAGCCATCACACAAGCAGGACTGAGAGAAATCCTAGGACCATCAAGGAAGAGGATCCACCAGCAGAACAGATTTGAAGTCTCGTCTGTCAGGGTGGAGGTAGCACACACCATGCTGTAGAGAGACCAGAGGCTGAGGAAGGAGACCACGGGACGGAGCGGTGCAGCAGGCTGGCTTCCTGGCCCATGGAAGTAGAGGCCAAAAGACCATGTGGCTGAGGGGCTGAGGATCGGAGGACCGGAGAGAGGGACTTGGCTGTTGACTGTGGAGGAGTGCTGCTGTGGACCAGTGACTTATCCTACGATCCTGACTTGTAGTAACCTGTAAACCTCCTTAATCGTGAGAATTGTCTGTAGGTTCTTTGCGGGACTCGCAATGGGCTTTTGGACCCAGCGAAGCAGCGGTGCCTTGGGAGAAGCGACTGGTGTCAGACTGGGCAGGGAAGGATGGACAGTGGAAGCTTGTCTGACTCTGCTTCATGGCAATAGGCCTTAGGCTGTTGAGGTGGATGCCCCTTCTCCCTAGCTTAGCCAGAAGAGGCCAGAGATGGCCTCCTTGTCATTTGTATCGTGTGCAGTTGAAGAAACAATCAACATGGAATAAGTATACATCTGTTCTGTTTCACCAACAGATCATCAGACCCTGGTTTCATGCCTAAACGGAATGGGTTTTTCCTGTGGGTTTTTTGTTTTGTTTTTTCTCGTCTTCTTTTTGGAATGCATGGAAGAGTGAGAAAGTAAGGCAGTGAGGCTCTGCAGCAGCCTGGGTGAGTAAGTGGGAGAAGTAATATCGCTCAGAAGTCCTGGGTATGTGCTAAGTGGCCTTTTCTTGCAGCTAAATCTGTCCACAAGGTGACTTTATATAGATGTAATCAGAAAAACACAAATTTCAATTCTACCAGGAAAAGGAGTGAGGAGAAACACGGAAAGACAGTCTGATAATGCCATCTACTGGAAACCTTTGTTCTGAGAACAAAGATTGAGCCCTTAGTGTTGTTTCAGTTCTGTTTTTAAAGGACGGTGGTGAATGTAAGTGAAACTCAGCAGCACTCTGGCAGGGCTGTGGTCACTTAGGCATTGGGCTTCTAACCTAAACGTTGGCAGTTCAAACCCACCAGCCTTGCTAAGGAAGAAACACAAATCCAATAAACTTTTACAGTCCCGGAAACTCTATACAGGGCCATTAAGGGCTCGGTATTGGCTCAATGGCAGTGGATTTATTTACTCTTTGCTAAAGGAGCCCTGGTGGCACAGTGGTTAAAGTGCTCTGCTACCAACTGAAGTTCACACCTGTAAATGCCTTCTCAGAGAAGTGGCCTAGCACTCTGCCCCTGCAGAGATCACCCAAAACCCAAACCACCAAAGCCATTTCCTGGAAGCCATTCCGACTCATGGGGACTGCCCAGGGCAGAGTATGACTGCCCCACAGGGTTCCCGAGATCACAGTCTGTATGGAAGCAGACCGCATGTCTTCCTCCAGTGGAGGAGCTGGTGGGTTTGAACCCCTAACCTTTAGATGGCAGCCTAGGAGACCCTCTGGGGCAGGGCTACTTCGTCGTATGGGATTGCTATGAGTCAGAATCCAGTCAATGGCACACAAAAACCATGTTGGGCTAGTACCCACCATGTCAGGTTTATATTGATTGTCACTGAACTAAGTGCAACTCGGGGCGACATTATGCAGAATTTCTGGGCCTGTGATTCTTTGAGGGAGGAGATCGCCTCATCTTTCTCCCACAGTAGCTCACAGGTTGAAACTACTGAGTTTGCAGGTAGCAGAGCACCAGTGCTCCTCATGTTGGGTTTATAGTTCATCTCAAAGAAGCCACAGTCAGAGCCCTTAAAGAGGTACAGATGTAGACGAGCATGTATGACATGATGTAATTTGATAAATGCAACTAAGAACATAAACGAACAAGCAAAAAGGAGAAGGGGGGTGGGGGGAGACACATGATACAGCCCTTAATTGCAGCAAGCATTTTAAATAACAGGAAGTACCGGAATAAACATCTGCCTGAGTTCTCTATCCTCAGACACAAGGCTTTCAACCCACTTTAATTCAAGAAGACCTGAAAAGAATGTGTCCCAAATATCCGGTGGAAATTCAATTGTCAGTGCCATTTGCATGCCCTTCTTGCAGCTGTTCGCTGAAAATGAATGAGATCACTAAAGTGATTTCGTAATTCTTGCTCTTGGGAGGCACTGACAGTAAGAGGCCTTTGATGGATCTAATTCCTCCAAATCGTACAACACTCAGCTTAAAACTAGATGGGTTGGATCAGCACCTCAAACATAAATCATGGGGCTTATCTTTGCAATACCAGGTAAACTTCTCAAGTTTAGAGAATGTGAATATTTACATAAAAATTATCCCAAACTCAGGAATTCCTTAGTCTTTTATTGCTAAGGAGCTCTCAGGTTGCAGGGATTGTTTGGCTGCTATCCAAAAGGTCAATGGTTTGAACCCAACAGCTGACCCATGAAGAGACGGATGTGGCAGTGTG